GGAGGAGGAGGAGGAGGAGGAGGAGGAGGAGGAGAAGAATAGTAATAAGAATACAGGAAATATTAATGCTCTGATGGTCATTTTGATAAATCCTTTCTTAGTGAGCACCTAGAAGCCAAGAGGAACATATGGGCCAAATTTCAAGTTTATAGGCTTTATAGTTCTGGAAATTTTGTGATGAGGCACAAGTGGTATTTCTCTTTTATACATATAGATTCATAGGCCACCTTTTACCAATGAGTTCAAGCCAACATACACAGTGCCTGGCTCTTTTAAAGAATTTTGATGTGGGGGCAGGAATCCAAGGGAAGGCCTTGAACCAGGATCTCCCCAAAGCCAGTTAACCCCTTCACCACTGCATCTCAGGGGCTCTCACTAAGAATTCATTCTATAGGCTTTTGGAAGAGGTTCCGCTACGTCTGCCTTCTCTAACTTGGCAGCTACAGTTCACTGAATGGCCATGAGCCATGTTGGCTGGGAACTATGGAGTATATAGTCCAGCACCTCCTGGCTGGAGTAGAGGGTTGCTGACTGCTTAGCCAGAAAAGCCTTCTACAATGTTTCACAATCAGCTGCATAGGAAGCATTGTTTTCAAACTGTTAGGAATAATTTGTTAGGAACTGTTTTGAAAGGGTTGATACATTGAGATACAACCTTGATAACTCTAAACTGTCTACATAGAGTTCAACTCTGGGAATTGCGAGGACTTTTTAAAGTTACCAGGGTTGAAAAAACACTGAGTTCAAGTCCTACCCTGCAGTTTACATTGGGGGGCCTGCCTGCTCTGACCAATTCCTTCCGTTTGTGGGCTCAACGCTGCCTTTACGGCTTCAGGGTTTTGGAGAAGCAAGCCAGGTTAACTTCCTGCTTCACAGAACCCAGGTGTGTAAACTTTATTCTGCTTCTCCTCCCCCTTTTTTGGGGAGGGGGGGATCCTTGGGATTGGTGGCCTCCAGGGGGTGGGCCTCGTATCTTAGGGAAGACCTGGGAACAATCCCTGCCACTGGCTACTCATCAGATACTACTATTAGCAGCCCAGAAGAGGCTCGGCAAGCAGGGAGGGCCGATGGGGTGGGAGGGGAGGCCTGCGTCTTTCTTACTTGGCTTGTTACAAGCAGCGAAGCAAAGGGGGAGCGGGGTAAGAGTCCCGGGATGGGAGACCACCAGGCGATCCCCAGCCAGCGGAGCAAACTGAACAAGAGCCCCTTCGTGGAAGAGAGTTAACCAGGCCAGGGCTTCGGGGGTCCCAGCAGCAGCAAAGCAAGGGGAAGATGGGGGGGGGGGGCTTTGGGATCCCGACAGCAGTGAAGTGTGGGGGACGGCACACGTAAGAGTCCCGGGACAGGAGACCACCAGGCGATCCCCAGCCAGCAGAGCAAACTAACAGGAGCCCCTTCGCGAAAGGGCAGCGTGGAAAAGCACCGCCCTTCTGGAGAGAGAGAGAGTGAGAGCGCCAGGGCCTTGGGATCCCGACAGCAGTGAAGAGGGGGAGGGAAACGGGACACGTAAGAGTCCCGGGACAGGAGACCACCAGGCGATCCCCAGCCAGCAGAGCAAACTGAAGGGTAACCCCTTTGTGAAAGGGCAGCTGGAAAAGCACCGCCCTTCTGGAGAGAGAGAGAGAGAGAGAGAGCGCCAGGGCTTTGGGATCCCGACAGCAGTGAAAGAAGGGGGAAAACGAGACACGTAATAGTCCCGGGAAGGGAGACCACCAGGCGATCCCAACCCAGCAGAGCAAGCGGGAAAAGAGAGCGAGCCCAGCCAGGGCTTCGGAGTCCGGCAGAGGCCGGAGCGCGGCCCGGGGCAATGGCGGCACCCACGTGGGCGGGGGCGGGGGCGGAGGGGGGGCCGCCCGGGACTCACGTCATGTTGCGGACGGTGCGGCCGCCGTTCCAGAGGAGGCAGGCGACGCTGGTGAGGGCCGAGGCGACCACGCAGAGCACGATGTAGCTGACGACCTTGGCGCGGAAGCGGAGCCGCGGGCGCAGCGCCAGCAGCCCCAGCAGCAGCAGCGCCAGCAGCAGCAGCAGCGCCACCGCGGCGGCCCCCATCCCGAGCCCAAAAGCCGGAGCGCGCCCCTTGCGCCGCTGACCCCGCCGCCGCCCCGGAACTCCGACGCTCGGCGAGAGAGAAAGTCGGGAAGCGCCTGGCTGCGCCTCGCCGGAGCTCGCCAGCTCTTAAGGGCCGGCCGCGCCTCCCGCACACGCCCTCCGGGCCCTCCGCCCAGGGGCGGCTCCGCTCCGCCCGGCCCGGCTCGGAACGCCCGCCCGCCGCTGCGCAGCCCCGACCGTTCGCGCGGCTCCTTTTCTTCCCAGGTTAACAGAATTGGAAGGGACCTTGGAGGTCATCTAGACCAACCCCCGCTTGTGGGCTCCCGGGCTGGGAAGCCCCGTAAAGCACTTTTAAAGACTTACAGACCGCTTCACGGGGCTTCCCAGCCGTGCTTTGCAAGCTCCGTCGGTTGCTTCTCGGTGTGATTCAATTTATTTTATTTACTTACTTATATTTTTTTTTACAAGATAATAAAACATAGTTACAGGGGTGGAATTCAATTTTTTTAAAAAACTATCGGTTCTGTGGGCGTGGCTTATTTGGTGGGCGTGGCTTGTCATATGATTGTGGGTGCGGTTTAGTGGGCGTGTGGCTGGGTGGGCGTGGCTTGGTGGTCATGTGACTGGGTGGGTGTGACTTGGTGGGCGTGGCCAACTCAATGTCACTCACATGAAGGGGTGCCTCACCTGGCCCCTCCCCTCCCTGCCTCAACATATCTATAGTTCTGTAAAAATGTTGTTCACCTTTTTTGACTTTATTATCTGCATACTAAACAGTAGATGTCCTTTCATGGACCACTGAAAGGGGGAAATGGCTCATGTGCTTTGCCCAAGAGGGTGGCAGGCAACAGGCTTTGTAGGGGCTGCCACAAAGAAAGGGGGGGATGTATTTTCCAAAGCACCAGAAGGCAAACAAGAAGCCATGGATGGAAACTGAGCAAAGAGAGAAGCAACCTAAGACTAAGGAGAAACTTCCTAACCGTGAGAACAATTAACCAGTGGAACTCCTTGTCTCCAGAAGTTTTGAGTGCTCCATCACTGGAGGTTTTTAAGAAAAGACTGGACAGTCTTTTCTCTGAAATGGTATAGGGTTCACCCCGAAGTCCCTTCTCGGGATTATTCTGACACCTTTCCCAGGATTTCTACTCAGAGTTTGGCACTCAGACTTATATACCGATTTACAGGGCTTTACAGCTCTCTCTAAGCAGTTTACAGAGTCAGCCTCTTGCCCCCAACAATCTGGGTCCTCATTTTACAAACCTCGGAAGGACGGGAGGCTGAGTCAACCTTGAGCGGGTGAGATTTCAACTGCCAAATTGCCGGCAGTCAGCAGACATAGCCTGCAGTGCCGCACTCTAACCACTGCGCCACCGCAGCCCTTAAATCAAATAGGGGAAAACGCTAGTATAAATTCTTATAGGAATAAAGCAAACTTGGACGTCCTCGGCTTGGTTGAAGATCATATTTCTGTTTATTTATTTATTTAACATTCATTGGCTGCCCTACTCCAGTAGAGCTGAGGGGGAGCAAATGGGAAAAGCCCCTCCCCCCCCGCCAATTCTGCAAAATCATTGAACCCTGTGAATTTTGTAAAATATCAAGGTAACATATCGAAAGCAGAGGGGGTGGACTGGATGCCCTTTGGCACCCCACAGAAGGAAAGGCCCATCAGCTGAAGGAGCCGCCTAAGCCACAGGCCGGATTTTCATTTCGGAGCGCTTGTAGGAGTAGTATATGCCTTTGCCACTGTTCCAGTTGATTCCGTCCCCAAGAGACTGGTGTTCTCCCAGCCAATATCTCCCGTTGAGGTTGGAGTTGTGGCAGCTCTTGTACCACCAGGCCCCCTTGTACCTCTCAGCGCAGTTGAACTTCTTGGGGTCCTGCCGCTTGTCTCGGGTGGAGAAAGGCATGTGGTTGTGGTGGGAGAGCGAGTCACCTGGGAGGCAGAAAACGGGGGGGGGGGAGGATGGGTACCTGGAAGGCCAGCCCAGAGCATCTCCAGGGAGGCGTTCATTGGCCTGACGGGCACTGCCCAATTCCAAGAGGCTCCTGGAGAAGGATGCTGAGTCCCCCTGGACTCACCTGCAGGGCCCCCCTTGAAAGCGCCCAGAGTTAGCCGATACCAGTCGGATTCTGCCGCCACCTGGAAGGACGCATATTTGGCGAAGGATTCCGTATGGTTGAAATCCATCAAGTCGACACGCAATTCGTTCTTTCCTAGGAGGAAGAAAAGAGCCGTTTGCCTCCGTTTTGGCACCACCAAACTCACAGGGGCCTGTTTCTCTGGTGCCTCCTCCATCCACAGAGGGGGCTGAGGGTCCACTGGAGGCTCTTCCCAGCCAGGGCCCTGCGCCCCTCTCTCCCCTGGCAGCAGGAGGGTTCAGGGCTGCAAGGTGAAGCCCCTCACCCAGAGAGGTCAAGCGGTGAAGGTTGTCGTTGCCCAACCAGAATTCGGTCAGCTGGTTTCCAAATCCTCTCTTGTAGGCAGCCCAGTCCCGGAAAAAGTCCACCGAGCCATCCGACCGCCTTTGGAAGACCTGAGGGGCAGAATGGGGACCCTTAACCTCCTCTCTGGGCAGGTCTAGAAATCCAAGTATTTTTCTTCCCGTGCCTCTCCCCTTCCCAAATTTTAGGGGTCTCAGGGCTGGCCTCCTCCACCCAGAAGTGCTCGTCACCCTCCCAGAGTCCTTCCAGGCCCCATCCCGGTAGAGACTTGACTTCTGGTTCATTCCATTCCTGGCAAGCAACAAAGTTGCAATCCTGGGTGTGTCTGCTGTGGGGCATCACCCAGGGACGGGATGCAAATATTTTTACTATCTGTTCTGTGGGTGGGACTAGGGCGGGGTAGGTATGGCTTCTTTTTTTTGCAGCAAACCTCCCCTCTCGGGGGTTCCTTTTTCTGTCTCCTGGTCAAGCAGTAAGACAGCGAGGGGGATCCCGGCACAGCGGATCATCGGAACAGCTGATTGTTGGAGGGTGAAAAAACTGGTTCAGCTGAACCGGTAGCTGTTTTTTTTAACAACCAGTTTGGACAAACAATAATGTTTTTTACTACCGGTTCACGCGAACCGGGCTGAACCAGTAGAATGTCACCACTAGCATAACCCCGTTCCCCAGGGAAGCTCCTTCCAAGGCACGGCCATCACAAGAGCTGTAAATTTAGCATGGGGGCCATACTTGCAAATACAATCAAGATATGTGAAGGATGCAAAAACACGTGGGTTCTATAAAGAGCCAACTGCCCTGGATCAGATATTTTTAAGGACGGTTGAAAAATTAATAGAGAAAATATATGGTCCTTGGTTAAGTGCTAAAATGGAGGATGGACAGATGAAAAAAACAATGATAGCATGGGCAAAAAACTTGGGGTATAACATAAAATTAGCTAAATGGCCCCCAAAAATGGGATAGGGTTAGGGTTAGGGTTGTAAATTGACAGCAGCAACCTTTTATAAGGAAAATTTGTATAAAATGTTTGATAGGTGGCATTTACCACCAGCAAGACTAGCAAAGATGTTTAAGAATATGTCCGTGATATGTTGGAAATGTAATCGGATACTGGGTTCCGACTTTCATATGTAGTAGACTTGTCCAAAAGCAAAAAATTAAAAATCTGGATGAAAATACACGCATGGTTAGAGAAAATGATAAAGCAACATATTAATTTAAAACCAGAAATATTATTGTAAGGTATATTGCCAGAAAAATAATGATAAAGGCCAGGGGTTGTATATGTAATATTACATGTGTTGACAATAGTAAGAATTGTATTTGCACAATATTAGAAAAATGAGGATGAAAGTACAATTAGAAAAATATTAGACTGTGCGAAGATGGATAGATTGACCTTAATAATAAAAGATAAGGAAGAAACGAAGTATTTTTTTAACATGGGATATGTCCTATCAATGTTTGAATAAAAGAGGTAGAAATTAGAGGATGAAAGTCTACTGAAATATATAAATTAATCAAGTCATAAAGTTTACTATAATTAGTAAATTGTGATATTCTAAGTATGGATGTTATATAACTATTACTTTTACTACTAGTTTACTAACACTTTGTACAAGCATATTGATCCAGACAAAACATTATTTATTAAGCACTTATGTATTTTAAAAAAGAAAAAAAATGTATAAATAATTTTTTTTAAAAAAAAGGGCAGCACCCCTTGGCCAGGCCTGGGAAGAGCCGCCCTCCGCCGGACTTACAATCCACCCGCCTCCGTCGGTGTCCATGTCGCACAGCACCTCCAGGGGCTTACAGTCCTGGGGGTAGATGGTGTACCAGCCACTCAGGACCATCCCCCTTTTCAAGAGCTCTTTGCAGTTTCGGGCACCTGGGCAGAAAGAAGGCAGGAGAGGTTGGAGCTCTCTGTGCCAGGGTCTTCACCAAAACACCCTGTACCCCTCTTCGTCTTTTGGTTGGTCAAGCAGGCTGAGGAGGGGTGAGATTCTACCAGTTCGGGTGAACCAGTAGCTCCGAAGATCATCTGGGAGCAAACCGGTTTGGCTTCAAAGATCAGGGTATCTCCTTTTACTTTTTCCCACCACCAATCAGCTGTTTTCCAAAGATCAGCTGTGCTGCACAACTCAGATCAGCTAGAAAGCAGGAAACCGTCAGATTTCTGGCTTTCCAGCTCATCTAAATCGAGTGGCAAAGCGCATTTCCCCCTCCCTTGCCGTTGGACCGCTTAGCCCAGGAGGCGTCCCTGAGGCACAGTAGGCAAAAGAAGAAGAAAACCCACCACACCCACCCAGTCACATGACCCCCCCTGGCCACGCCTATTTTGCCACGCCCACAGAACTGGTAGTTTCAATATCTGCATCCCACCCACCCCCGAGGCCGAGTCATTGCAGCCAGGCGTTGTAGGTTGGGGAGGGGGGGATGCTCTCAATATCGGATTGGGTGGGCTGGAGGCCCCCCCCCCGCCCCCCAAAATATTTTTGGAGGAGCCATGTTTCTTTTCAAGATGGGACCTGTTTTAGGACAACCCCTTTTTTCTGCCTTTTTCCTCTTGAAGCGAAGGCAGAATCCTGCAGACAGCCGGAACTGTCTGGCCACAGCATTGGCCGAACTCTCTTGGGGAATTGTGGGAGGGGAGCTAAGAAAGACATAAGACATAAGAATTTATTTGTCATTACACTCGCAAGCGGGTGCAACGAAATGAGGTGCTCTTCCACAAGTAAAACTGGACAACACCATTGAAAGAAAAATAAAAACACAATTAATTAATAAATTAAACACAACAGACCATACAATAATCTCTATACAATTTAAAAATGTAAATACCCCATTACTCTCAGCCATTAAATTCCACAAAAATCTTATGACCCTGCATTCAAACTCAAAACTGCACTTGGATAAAAACTGTTCTTAAATCTAGTCGTCCTTCTTCTTAATACCCTGAATCTCCTTCTCGATGGTAATAGTTCAAAGAGCTGATGTCCCGGATGAGAGGAGTCATTCAATATATTAAATATCTTCCTCTTACATCTATTCCTATACCGTTCTTCCAAAGAGGGGAGTGAGCAGCCAATGATGTTTTGGGCCATCTTAATCACCCTCTGAATTGCCTTTTTCTCTGCCACTGTGCAGCTCGAGAACCATACACAGAGACAGTAGGATAATCTACTCTCAATTGAACTCCGATAGAAGGTAGTCAGTAGACTCTCAGCCAGTTGTTGTTTCCTAAGAAAGAATGTCTAGTAAAGACACACGCACGCACACATGCACACACACGCTCACACTCACTCACCTTGCTTGCACTGGAGCACCTCCAGCCTCTTCTCATCTGCAAAAAAGAAGGAAGGGTGCATAAAAGCCCATTTCTGCCCCCCACCTCCCAGCCACCCCGCCCTCCATGTGGCAGGAAAAGCCCTGGAGGGAGAGATTCCACAGCGCTGACTTGCAGCAGGTGCGGGACGGAGGCTGCCCACCTGCCAGGAGTCCTTTTTGGCTTAACCTCATACCCTCCTGAGCTCATTGGGGGGTGAGGGGGGGGCAGAGCTGTACAGTTAGGCCAGGAAGCCCGTTCTGCTTCAGAGAATCGAGTGGCTGGCTGAGGGCCCCGATCCAAGGCAGCTCCCCTTGAGGGGGAGGGCCTGCAGTCCTTACCCATTTCTCCTGGGTCGCCTTTCTTGCCTGGAATGCAAAAGAGAAAGGGAAGGGCAGAATTCCTCCTCTTTAGGAGGGTCTGGCAGCATCACTGGGGTTCAAGAAGGGGGCGCCAAGCAGCTGAACCCCAGAAGCCCAGAAGTAGCAGTATTTGCTGTGAGGAAATGGGTGCCAGGTTCTCAGACAGGTGAGGTTCTGGGACGCTCTGTGTGTGTGTGTGTGTGTGTGTGTGTGTGTGTGTGTGTGATCTCTACACTCAAGCAAACCAACCACCCCCCTTTTAGGGTCTCTTCGTTGGGTTCCTTGCCCAATTTGCCCCCCCCTCTCTCTCCAACAGCTGCCCAAACACACCTGCGCGACCCCGGAATCCGAAACCCCCCTCTTACCTTTTGGCCCAGGGGCTCCAACTTTCCCGGGGATTCCCTGCGAGCCCCTTTCACCTGGAAAGGAAAGGTGGCTAGTTGGGCAGCTGCCAGCCCCCTCCGTGTTTCGTGCAGGCTTACACCAGAGCAGGTGGCTTAACCCAAGGAATGCCCACTTTAGGAAGGGGAGTTTCAACGGGCCGAGTGCCCGGAAGAAGCGTTGCCACTTTTTGCCACCTTTGCCGTTTCGTGGCACTTCCCTTCTGCCTTGTGACGAGACAGGTTGTTTCTTTCAGGAGGGGGTCAGTTTCCGGAGCCCACGTCCCCCTCTGTCCACAGACCCACCTTTGGCCCCTGGAATGCCAGGAGGGCCCTGTGGCCCTCGTGCCCCTGGCAGGCCCGGACTCCCCCGCACGATGGCTATTGTCTCGTTGCCATTCAGGCCCAGGGCCTTAAATTCTGCAAAGGAAGGAAAACGTTTAGAGAAGAAAAGTGGGCGTTTCTTTCGGACCTGAGCTACATTTCCCATCTCTGGAGGCTGGCAGAAGGACGCTGCCCCTCTCGCTCCATAGAGCCAACCTGCCTGCTGCTCACCTGGGCAGGAGGAATCCTGCGCCCCTCGTTGGATTACGACCATCAGGTAGAACAAAAGGAGACCCGCTTGTTCTCCGGCTCTCCTCATGGTGCCCGCTGGACTCGGACTTCAACCTGTCCTGGACTCTCTGCTTTTATTTGGGCAGCCGGCTTTTGTCTCTTTCCCTTTTAAGTGGGGACTCCAGGGCAACCTCACAACACCACAAACTGCTCCTTTGTTGATCAAAGCACACCCCTGCTAGTTAAACACACGGGCAATTCTTCATTGTAGAGGGAGGCACCCCAACCACTTGAAAGCAAGGGAAAACATGGGATTACTATTATTTATTAGGTTATTATGAGGTGTCTTCAAGTGAACCTCTCTTCCAAGGTCGGTTGTAAGCAGAGCCGGATTTCCAATCCAGAGTCAAAGGACAAGTCGTCCAATGGCCAAAATTATGCCGGACGTCAAATCTGGGGGTGGGTGTGAACCAGCTAAATAGCCACGGGGTGACTTTCCTGATTTTGTAGAAATACGAACAACGTGACTGAGGCAACAAGCAACAAGGAAGTTTCGGTCATGTGCTGTGAAAAGGTCCACTTGCCACCCACATTTCAAGATCCTTGAAAACCATCCAGAAAAGAGCCAAGAGGTTCCTCCTTCCTCAGCCTTTGGCTCTCCTGGAAAAGCCACTAGAGAATCTGGCCACAGATGTTTGAGACAAAAAATTTGGAATATGATTCGCATTTTAATACCCCTCCCCTTATCTCGATGTGTATTTAGTGAAACAAAAGCCAGTATGTTAATTCCCCTCCCACCTCTTCTGTAGGAAAGATCTTTCTCTCAGTTTCCCAGGACATACCTAATTTCCCCCCGCCTCCTTTTTAGAACGGATTTTTCCAGAGATTCCCAGGATACATCTCACTGTGGAATTTTTATGATCTTCTCATCTCCTGGCTGTGCCACTCAGAGATGATAAGTTCTGGCCATCTGGCTTTTCTCCCTCCATTATATCATGTGTGGGTTATACAAATTTGATATAAGATTAAATATATTCAGGTTACATCAAGAAAGGATTTCTTTATCAGTCTCCCCCCCTTTTCTTCTTCCACTGAAGAAATGACAGATGCTGCTTTCCTTGCATGAAGCCAAAAGTCTCTCCCTCCCTCTCTCCCCCCCTGAGAACGGAGCTGGAGACGGTATCCTGCAATCCCAAATAAAGAACGATCGATCAGTAGGAAAACGGGGTGGGGTGATTTTCCTGCAGAATTTTTTAGGGATTTTCCCAGGGTCTCTGATCCGTGGGATTTAAAAGTATGAGTTTGGGGATCCCTGAGGTCCAAAATGTTGGTGACCCCTGAGCTAGAGTATTTGTGCCCTTACCTAAGGAGGGCAAGATTTCTTCACTGCTTTGATGCAACATTCTGGGTCCAAGTTCAGGCTGCCCTCTCAGAATTCACACGGGGTCAGGCACTCCGCCCCGACTCTGCTGCCGGCAACACGGGAACTCAACTTCTACCTCCTAGTATGCCTCCCTCCTCATCTGTTTGGCCCAGATCCCGCAGCAGGATTTGGAAACCAAGATATAACTGGTACGAGTGTTGCTAATGTCAAAAATCTTACTGTGGTTTTTCAGGCGTGTTCTTTCCTACACAAGGAGGCCTCTGTTCCTTCACTTGGCTTTTTTTGGCAACTTTAAATGTCTCAAGGTGGGATTTTGAGCCTGCTGGATGGACCTGCCTAGCCAGCTTGCTTGTTGCACATGTCCTCCCTGGAGGAAGAAGCTTTGGGGCAAGGAGAGGGATTCCTGTGGACACACAGACCAGACCTGCCACCCACGCAAATGTCACTCAAAGAGGTTGAGACATAGATTGCAAACCCGGAGCGTTTGGTAAAACGGTGTTCTGACCCATTGACTTTCCTTCAAAAGAAGAAGTGAGAGGCCTTCTCCCCTTCCGTTCCTCAACCCTTTAACCTACTTGCAGCTGCTGATGTGTGGAAAGAATTCTGAAATATTTCTTGCGCCCTTGGGGAGGAGGGGTGGAAACAGGGGGAGGGAACAAACTAGAGTATTTGTGCCCTTACCTGAGGAGGGCAAGATTTCTTTACTGCTGTGATGCAATGTTCTGGGTCCAAGTTGAGGCTGCCCTCTCTGAATCAGGAGAGACAACGCTGCCTCTGAAACACTTGGCTTACGCTCCAGATCCGAGGTCAGATCTTCTGTTCCCAGGGCAGGGCTGAAAGGAAACACTGGAAGGAAGGAATGGTGAAAGGGGCTTTGGAGTCTCAGTGGACAACTACCTAAATATGAGCCAGCAGTGTGCAGTGGCAGCCAAAAAAGCCAATGCGATCCTAAATTGCTTTAACAGAGGGATACAATCAAGATCAAGGGAAGTACCACTCTATAAAACCTTCTGTAAGGCCACACCTAGAGTCCTGCATCCAGATTTGGTCCACACACTATAAAAAAGAGGTTGAGACTCTAGAAAGAGGGCAGAGAAGAGCAACCAGGAGGATTAGGGGACTGGAGGCTCAAACATACGATGAACGGCTGCAGGAACTGGGCCTGGCTAGTCTGGGGAAGAGAAGGGCCACGGGAGACAGGATAGCATCTTCCAAGATTTGAGGGGCTGCCACAGAGAGGAGGAGGAAGGGGTCAAGCTATTTTCCAAGGCACACGAAGGCCAGACAAGAAACAATGGATGGACAACTGATCAGGGAGAGATTCAACCTGGAAATAAGGAGGAATTTTCTGATAGTAAAAACAATTAGCCAATGGAACGGAAGTTTCCTCCGGAAGTTGTGGGAGTTTCATCCCTGGAGTCTTTCAAGAAGAGATTGGGCTGCCATCTGTCAGAAATGGCGTAGGGTCTTCTGCTTGGGCAGAGGGTTGGACTAGATGACCTACAAGATCCCTTCCAACTCTTACTCTGAATCTAATCTGAATCTCTTTGGTATCCATTGCAAAATGCATCCTTTCTAACAGGTGGACAATTAGATCAAAGGAACTTTCCAAAGAGAATTTTATTTCAATGAAATCCTCACTAGCGGAGCTGTGTTTCGTGCCCTTCCTTAATGACGGTGCCAAGGGGTTCCCAGGAATGCCCTATCCTCCATTGCGTAGCCTTCTCTCCATCCCTCAGTGTGGATATTCCCAGCGTGGTTTTTCCAGAGTGGGAAGGGAATGGGTAACCAGGAGGGCTGCAGAGAATTGGCAATTTCCAAGAGAAATGCCAGCATACTTGCTTCAGCTGACAGTATGGCTGTAAGGCAAACAGAAAGTATCCATGACATCAATCACTCCAAGACATATTCTCTCCAATTGATTTATTTAGGAACAGATCTGGTAGGTCTAAGGCAATTTCCCAAAGTGAAAATATGTTCAGGGTCATTACACAGAATCCACCTTCTCTCCTCCCACTCCTACACTTCTTAAATCACGAGAACCAATTAACTGCAGCTGGAATTTCTTAGTACGACATACAGAATAACCTTGAGCTTTTCAACTCCTCCACCCCCCCTCCCATTATGTGAATTTCAAAGCTGACAATGGCCTCCTGCCATAAGATGCAAAGGTAGGTGGAGGAAATTAGGGAAGTAGGGATGGAGTAGGGGGAGGGTGACAGGGTGACAGGAACCAGAGATGTCAAACCAGAATATACCAGCTAATCAAATATGGAGCCTGAGAACAGAATGTGAAACTCCACCAAAGAGGCACGAAACCTCAAAGTCATTCCCAAAACATTGAAAGCAAATATAATTGGTAGCTGGTCAAGGGAGAGAGGAAAAAAGGCAAACTTTATGCAGGAATACTCAGATCCAGCTTTGGTTATGCCATAACCGCTTGACTTTAGTAAAGAGCCTTTCGCTTCAAAGAACGGAGTCGAGGGTTTCTCTTTCCTAAATGTCCAAGTCAGGATGAGCCTGACAGCGCCTTGGGAATAACGGAGCAAAGAAATCTCCTTCATAGGGCCAAGTAGCAGAATCATTGGCTGAAGAAGAGAGTGGAATAAAAAGATATTCCAGCATGTTCCGTGGGAGGGAACGACAGAGGCCGGACTATTGAAGCCTTTATCTGCAACTTCCAGGGGGGTGCAGTGAGATTTATGCAAATAGATGACCCGTGATCAAGAAAGACCTTTGGCCTATTCAGGGAGTTGTTCTGCTTTTTTGCACCTGTCAAGTCATAACATATTTCTATGGTCTTTTTAGAGTTGCCAACAGAAAGGGAGGGGGGATCAGTGCAGCAGCTTGCAAACCGAAACTGCGTCCCATAAATGTTTTCAAAGATAGTAAGTAGGTGACTGAAGTTTCTGCCATGCAAAAGTCTAACTGGAGAACATGATTGATGACTCTTGCGTTGCATTGGAGAATATGAATTATGATACACCCAGAGGGGTGTGGGGAAAACCAGGGTCAAAAGTAACAATGAATTATGTGTCTCGGAGTTGGCTACACCTAGGCAGTGCCAGACATGTTAACTCCCAATAAATCCTTTTCAAGTTTTGGAAGCTTAAGCTCAAGACTCATGATTTAAATGGGGGTAACCGCAGGAATCCTGGCTCCAAGCTTATCTCAGAAGTCAATGAAATTGGACACTACTTAGTGCTTGGATGGGAGACTTGAGGAAAGATCTGAGTTCTAGTGTCAAGCTTCAAATGGCGTTTTTGCTGTTGCAACTATTTTCACTTCTCAGCTTACCGACAAACTATGGGGGGCGGAGGGGGTAATAGAACGAAGCTCCAGATATCAAGATGCTAGCCATGGGAACCAAGGACGTTTCGGCAGGTGTTGAACAAGAGCTGAACAAGACTTTCTCACAACAATACCAGAAGTCTCCATTGGACAATGTGACATGGCCTAATAGAGTGGAGAGAGAACTTGAAGCTTATTAATTTTCCAAATTTAAAAAAAACATAAAAACAAAACTTTGCACATTGTTATCAACATCAAGACATCTTTTGCATTTCCTCACGTTTTCCAGTATATGTATTTACTCATTCCTTTACCATTACATCTTACTCTTTACTATAACTCAATATCTTTTATCCTTACATCTCAATCTTCTCCATGGTATATTTACATATTTACATATTCCCTCATTCTTTTCCTAAATGCCATTT